ACCAGACAGGGTGCCACAGGGGGCCGCCGGACACGGGAGGACTGTGGAGAAGCGAGACAGGACAGGACCCCCAGAGGGGTCAGCCAGGGACACCGCATTCGGCCGACTAAGCGGGGTGAGTGTGGTGCGGTCCCGAAAGAAGGAGCGAGACGCTCCAGAGTCAAGGGTGAAGGTGTGGGAGGCCGAAGCCGACACAGTACCTGAGAGTGCAGACTCACTAGTACCTGAGAGTGGAGACTCACCAGTACCTGAGAGCACAGACGCACTGGCACCTAGAGCAGCAGCCTCACTGGCACCTAGAGCAGCAGTACCAATGCCCGGGTCGGGCGGGAAACACCGGTAACAGTCACCCTCATCACTAACAGTCACAGCATACATGGCCGCAAGGATAGCATCAAAGTCAAGATCAAAGATAGCTACACCAGCCCTAGACAGCTCTCCCCAGCGGGGGATCTCAGAGGCCTCTGGAAACTGCTGGCGCCAAGCGTCCGTCAGGCGGCCAAAGCAGCGCTGGGCGGTGTGGGTGCCCCCACACTGCTCACCCGCGCGGTCGCCGGTGCGAAGGACGTAGGTGTAGGGACCAAACGCCCCACCACGCTGACGCTGCGAGTACCACTCACGGAGCTGCTGAGGGGCGGGGACGTCGCGAGAGCACTGCTGCTGCTGCTGCTGCTGTTGGCGCTGACCACCCCCAGTGCTGCTCCGCTGGGACGAGCCACTCCGACCACCTCCACCACCGCCACCCCCCCCTCGCCTCCACTGTCGCCACCGCCACCCCCGCCTCCGTCGCTCCCACCGCCACCTCCGCCGCCACCTCCGCTGCCACCTCCGCCTCCACTGCCGCCACTAGTACCTCCACCCCCGCTACCACCTCCACCGCCACCCCCACTCCCCCCGCCGCCCCCACCTCCTCCGCCACCGCCCCTGCTAGCTCCACCCACTCCCTTGCCCCCCTTGCCCTTGCCAGAGCGGCGCCTACCGCTGGGGGCAGACGCCGCACCGACCGACTCTAGACCAACGAGGTCGGCCGCAGCAGCAGAGGCGACAGAGGGTAACAGGGGGGAAGGAGAACACCCCTCAAAGATGGGGGTGCGAGGGTCACCACGAGAGGCCCCTACAGCGACTATGCTCTTCTCAGCCGCTAGCAGGGACTTCTCGAGGAGGTTGACAGTGAGGGTGGTGGGACAGACCGAGAGAAACTGGTCCCTAACTACACGAAGGGACTCAGGGAGACGGGTGACTAGAAAGTAGAGGGTGATGTACATGGGAGGGGGGTTTGCGGCGCAGAAGTCAGCAGGAAGCGCAGCTCGGTAGCGAGTGTCACTAGTGCGGAGGTGGGTAATGAGGTCAGCGACTGTGGGAAAGGCAGCAAGGTCAGGGAAGAGGTACGGTAGCATGAGGCGGCTCAGTGCAGCAGAGGAAGGGGAGGAGTAGCGCGCAACTACAGCGTCGTACAAGGTCTGAGCACTCTTGTACTGACTAAAGTGTGCACGCTCAGAGGTAGGGAGGTGGCGACGCACAACAAGACGTGCAGCAGCATCGCGTGTGGCCCACTTGGAGCGAACAGTGGGGTCAGCATCAGCAGCAGGGGCAGGGACAGCGCCAGAGGCAAAGTCAAAGAGAGAAATGTCATCTACCGAATCGCACTGCAAGTACAGCTGCAGGTCGTCGACCTAGACCTCAAAGTCCATGGCGCGACCCTCAGCGTCAAAAGCCAGGACACTAGGGGTGGCCATGACAGCAGTCGACAGTCTCACCAGACAGGACGGGTCGGGCAGCTCAGCAGCACAGCAACTCTGCCGGCCTAGTAGCAACAGCAGCCCCACAGGACCAGCAGCTCGACTCCTCAGGCGACTCAGGCGGCTCGGGCGGCTCGAGCGGCTCGGGCGGCTCGGGCGCTCAGCGGCACAGGCGGCTCGGGCGGCTCGGCTCCTCAGCTGCGTAGGCGGCTCGGGCGGCTTGGGTGTCGCGGTTGGCACGGGCGGCTCGGGCGTCGAAGGGCCGGGACGGCGTGGCGCGAGGGCGGCTGGGAGCGGGGCCGGGACGGGCGGCTCACGGGTGGCTCGGGGCCGGGACGGGCGGCTCACGGGCGGCTCACGGGCGGCTCATGGGCGGCTCACGGGCAGCGCTTCGGGCGGCTAAGGGCGGCGCACGGGCGGCGTGGTGCCTGACGGGCGGCGCGTGGGCAGCCTGGGGCCTGGCGGGCGGCGCGCGGGCGGCTAAGGACGGCGCGCGGGCGGCGCGTGGGCGGCCTGGGGCCTGGCGGGCGGCGCGCGGGCGGCTAAGGGCGGCGCGCGGACGGCGCGTGGGTGGCCTGGGGCCTGGCGGGCGGCGCGCGGGCGGCTAGGGGCGGCGCGCGGGCTGAGTGGGGCCTGGCGTGGGGCCTGACGGGCGGCGCGTGGGCGGCCTGGGGCCTGGCGGGCGGCGCGCGGGCTGCTAAGGGCGGCGCGCAGGCTGCTAAGGGCGGCGCGCGGGCTGCTAAGGGCGGCGCGCGGGCTGCACGGGGTCTAGACGGGCGGCGCGCGGGTGTCTAGGGTGGCGCGCGGGCGGCGTGAGGCCTGAACGGGCGGCGCGCGGGCGGCTAAGGGCCGGTCGACAGAGGTAAGAGAGAGCCCGGAGCGCGCTCCGGGCAGAAAAAAAAGTTCGAAGTAGTGGTGGGCCCTAAGCACAGTTCCCACAGGGGAACCTGCTCGATACCATGAGAAGAATAGAACGAGAATGAATTGACTATGAACGAAGTGAGTACAAATAGCAAACCCTGATTGTGTTGTACCCCCTATGGGATACCCCACTATAGCCTACACAAGTAAGCAAGCTATAATGTTATGACACTACATCCTACTAATCGTCTACGTGGACGATCTCCTTTACATCGGCTCAATTGACGGCATCACCACCTGGTTCGAAGGGGAGCTGCAGCGAGATCTCACGCTCACAGTTTCATCTACCGTCACTCAGTACCTCGGCCTCAACATCCGGGAAGAAGAAGACGCTATCTACCTCAGCGCTGCGAAATACGCCGACACCATCGCCAAACGTTTCGCACTCACACCGACTGTCATCTCCACACCGTACCACTACACGACAGCAACCAACAAAGAAGGCTCCGCTCTACTCAAGCCCGCCGGCATACGCGACTACAAGAGAAAGTTGGGCTGCCTTCTCTTCGTAGTTGTCACCTGCCGCCAAGATCTATCCTACTCTTCAAGCCAGCTCGCCACCCACCTCAAGAAGCCTGAAACGGATCATCTGGCGGAGCTCGACCGCGCCCTCCACTACCTCGTCAGCACCCCGACGGTCGGCCTGACCTACCATAAGAATGCAACTACAACGCCTAAGCTAATCGGTTACGTCGACGCAGATCACGCGGGCGACTCCGACAACAGACGATCGCGCACCGGCTACATCTACCGCTTCGAGCCTATCGGACCTATCTCCTGGCAATCGAGCAAGCAGGAACTAATTGCTCTCTCGTCAGCTGAAGCAGAATATATTGCACTCTGCTCAGCCACCAAGGAAGGGCTCTATCTTCGCGAGCTGCTGGAAGAAGCGAAGTTAGCCGAGGTACCCAACTTTACCCTGTTCTGCGACAACCAGTCGGCAATTCACATCGCCAACAAGAACGGTTTCGCGAACAGGACAAAACACATCGCCCTGCGATACTTCTTCGTGAAGGACGAGATTGAGAAGGGAAGGCTCGAGCTGTCATACTGTCCCACGTCCGAGATGACAGCTGACTACCTGACCAAGAAGCTCGGAAAACAGAAGTTCGAATATTGCATGATGCTGACTGGACAAAGCCACGTCAGCGACACTCCAAAAGCGAAGGGGAGTGTTGGAAACAATCGGTCCTAAGCGCCTCTGTCGTGTCGAAACACTAAGGCACAAACGAAGCGAAGCTTATCGAGGCACCGGCGAGTCAACCCTCGGAGGTTGAAGCAACCGTTGGAGGTTACGCGAAAGTCAAAGGTCAGCGACCTTTGACCTGACAAGTACAGCGCGACAGCAAGGACACACAACTGACTCGCTACAAAGCAGTTGCCCGAGTCGTCACTGTATCGAACCGCAACAGCAACAGTAAAAATAGTCGCAACCGTATCTCTTCGTATTCCTTGTACGTACTCTTATATAATCTTGTATCTCCTTGCTTTAATCAACTTACTTTGCCCTCACATACCGTAATCCCCCGGATAGAAGCGCAGGCCTCGGATAAGCGCCGGCGCTTATAAAAGGATGATGGCGCTTATATCCGGTCCTCGATTATAAGCGCACACCTGAAGGCTTACGGATTATAAGCGCCACCCTCTTCTTTTATATTATAATTTTACTGAAATCGTTGTAACGAAACTCAATATTTTCATTCCCACATTTTGAATTTCGATGCCCCCTCACCCTCGCCCGGCTCACTGGCAACGCGTCCAGTCAGAATGAGCTGTCAAGGGCGCACGTTGACTCATTCTGACTGTGTGTGTTGCCAGGGAATCAATCCCTGCCAACTTGCACGCGAGATTCTCAATCACAGCTTTGTACAGTATTGTTTCACATTCTGACTGTGTGTGTTGGCAGGGAATCAATACCTGCCAACTTGCACGCGAGATTCTCAATCGAACCCTGTATAGTTTCGACTCGATTCAATTCGCAAGAATGGGATCTACAGTTTGGTGGGAAAACGACGAATTTCACATATGCTATTATATAAGCACCGGCGCTTATAAAAATCCTCAATTATAAGCGCACCCCCTAAAAAAACGTGTTTTTTTATAATCCCAGGGGCGCTTCTATCCGGGGGCTGACGGTACTAGCGCAAGGTAGTTCAGAATCTCTTTATTAACGCTTCCGCTACTACATCACTCTACCCAGAGTTTGACCCTACCAAAGATCCTAAGGGGCATTCAGCCCAACAAGGTTGATAAATGGATTGCTTTGAGACGTCTGAGGAGTGTAGCGAGAATCAATTTACTATGTGGAGGGAGCAGCGGGGGTGTGTAATATATCCTGGGTTAAGGAGGGTCGGCGGTGCTCCGGGCTGTTGGGCGAGGCAGGTTGTTCCTCGAACGAATGCGAGTGAGTGTGAGATGCGGCACCGACCACCACCCTGAATCATGCAGGGAGGGGCAGGCAGTGCAAAGGGGCCTAGCCCGGGTCGAGAAGAGGTAGGCGGTACTGTAGGCTGATTGGGGAAGCGGCATATTGGAAGATCATGAGCAGGCACGCCTCGTTGGGTGCCACCCCTGCTTGTAACACATTGAAGGGGGAGGTGGGAGGTGGGGGTTGGAGGGAGGGGGGGTTACGGAAGGTACAGGACAGGCGGTTGACGGCGTATTGGAAGATCATGAGCAGTCACACCTCGTTGGGTGCCACCCCGGCTCACATGCATGGAGGGAGGGGAGGTGGGTGAGAGGGTGGTGGCATTCAGCTGGACTGCATGGTGGTGACCGGAGCATGCAACAGGGGGATGCAGTATCAGAAGGGAAGATCATGAGACATGCCCCGTTGGAAGCCACCCCTGCTTGCATGGTGGGGGGTGATGGGGGTGATGGGAGTGATGGGGGTGATGGGGGTGATGGGAGTGATGGGAGTGATGGGAGTGATGGGAGTGATGGGAGTGATGGGAGTGATGGTACATGGCAGACGGTTGAGAATGTATTGGAAGATTACGAAACGAGTGAAGGCATGGATTGAAGAGACGAAGTGAAGGTACGGACCGAAGAGACGGAGTGAAAGCACGAACTGACCGCAGTAGGAGGCATCGGGGCGGGTGAGGTAGCACTGCAGACTGCGGGCGAGATGCTTCACACTCACTGACTGCTCGGGGGGATAGATGTGTGAGAGGGATGGTAGTAGGGTGAGATGGGGGTGAGGGGGATATGGCACGGAAGGCAGAGGGATGAGATGGCACCGCACAAGGGGGTGATTTACACTCACTGAGGGCGCGGTGTGGACTGCAGAGGATATACGAGAGGGACGAGAAGCTGGGAAGCTTGGGAAAAGACGGCAATTTGGAGCAGGTGTAACGTGTCACATCGTGAGACCACATCACATTACACAAGTAGATGAATGAAAGACGTGCTGTGAGGCATGACCATGCTTTAAGAACAAAGACGTGACACTGCCAGATGAAGTCCTGTTTGAAATACCCTTTCTTAGAAGAGAACTCTTGAACTCTAGAAGAGAACTCTTGAACTCTAGAAGAGAACTCTTGAACTCTTGAAGAGAACTCTTGAACTCTAGAAGAGAACTCTTGAACTCTAGAAGAGAACTCTTGAACTCTAGAAGAGAACTCTTGAACTCTAGAAGAGAACTCTTGCTCCACATGCTCACAGCTCACAACCACTGTGAGAAATCCCTTTCCTACAATCCTATAACACCCCTCTGCCTTAATGTGCCGCCCAAGCCTCACCACGACTGTAGCATCGCCTGTGGCTTGCATTTGTCGGAGCCTTGTGGACAGCCCCGAAATGTCTTCATCACCGTCTGCGCCCCCCCCTTGCCTGCTGCCCTCCCCCACCCCCGCCCCACTCTGCTGGCTCTCTGCTCCGTGGTATCATGTGTGGCAAGGGGTGGAGAAGGTTGAAGTGGGGTAAGACGGAGGAAGCGGAGCAAAATGGGGGATTGGTGGAGACGAAAGAAAGCAGGGAAGAGAGGGGACGATTGTGCGGACAGAGCTTGGCAGGCATGGGTCAAAAAAATCGTTTCGGTTGCACCTCTATGTCTGTATATGAACCTCCTATATCGTTGCACCCTGCGTTGACTTTTGACGCGCCTCAAAAGTTTGCATAGTAACCTCTTATACCAAACACCCTCAGGTTCTTAAACTGGGCCGCGGCCGTGATGGAGGGGCGTGGGTGCTTGTTAGGATTTGACCGTACTAAGTTGTCAAATCCTAACAATCAACTGATTTGGCCCCAAAAGACAAACCCACTGTATGCTTTTTACCTGAGTTGGATTGGCACCGAAGACTCTGATCTTCTTGAACTCCGTGGTGACGCTGATGCAGGGCGTGTGGGTGTGCATCGCAACTTGGAACTACTGAGATGGCTGACAAGTCACCTGAACTAACCCCAAACACTTTGAGGTTCTTGAACTGGGCGGCTATGGTACTGGAGGGCATGTGGGTGCGCATGGCAAGTACTGAGATGGCTGAGAAGTCACCTGATTTAACCTGTGTGGGAGCCAAATGCTCTGAGGTTCTTGGACTAGGTGGCGACGGTGGCGCAGGGCAGGGCGTGTGGTGTGGTGTGGGTGTGCATGGCGAGTACCGAGAGTCCTTTTGAGACGTCTCAAAAGTGTGGGTGTGCATGGCGAGGCCAGTACCGAGAGTCTGAGATGGCTGACAAGTCACCTGAATTAGCCCCCAAGACTTTGAGGTTCTTGAACTGGGCGGCAACAGTGATGGAGGGCGTGTGGGTGCGCATGGCAAGCGCACCGCTCCTCATCGTTGCCACGTCAGCCACGTCGCCCACACTCTGCAGGCGCTCCACGAGGTGGCGTAGCGAGGGAAGATCTGGTAACTGCACCAGGGTCTGAAACAAGGGGAGGGCCCGATGGGAGTTTTACTCATCACGTCAGCCACGTCGCCCACACTCTGAAGTCGCTCCACCAGGTGGCGCAGGAACGGCAGATCTGGTAATTGCACCAGGGTCTGGAAGAAAAGAGGGTGGGGAGGGCAAGGGAAAGGGCCGGTTTCCTTCGCCACATCGCCCACACTCTGCAGGCGCTCCACCAGGTGGCGCAGGGGGACAGGCAGTTGCACCCAGGTCTGCCAAGGTTGATGGCATGGTGGGGGAGGGGGCAAGGTGAGTGAGAAGAGAACAGGGAGGACGTCGCGATTTGAGGGCAGGGCACTAGTGTATTGTTGTGACCCGCCTGAAGCCACGACACCCACACTCTGCACGCGCCCCACCAGGTGGCGCAGCGAGGGCAGATCCGGCAGCTGCGCTGCATCAGGGTCTGAAGGGGTGGGGGGGCTGGAAGAGGAGGAAGGAGAGGAATGGGAGAGCAGTAACGGGAGGCTTTAGTCCAATCATGAGTGGTGAGTGGTCACTGCCGGTTATTCATCCCAAACCAGGGGGGATGCTGATGAGGTGTTTTGACTCCCCTCACATCACGCCGCCTATCCTCTGCAGGCGCTCCACCAGCTTCCGCAGCCACGGCAGGTCTGGCAGCCACACCAGGGTCTTCAAAGGTGTGGGGGGGAGAGGAGGAAGGCGAGGAATGGGAGATTAAAGAAGGGCATTTGACAACAGACCATGGGGCGACACAGCATTAGGCACGCGTGCCTCACCTGAGATTGCGAATGTACGAGGAGTTAACAAAAGTCAACCAAATTCAACAGGGGGGCTCACCTGAGGCGAAGATTGTATGAATGAGGTCAATATCCAGAGTCAACAGGTCAACCAGAGTCAACAGGTCAACCAGAGTCAACACGCACCTCACCTGAAGCGGCAAGTGCACGAGGTCGATGCCAGCCTGCAGTCAACGCAAGTCAACTCAGGCCTCACCAGAGTCAACTGAAGCCTCACCCTCACCTCACCTCAGGCAGCGAGTGCACGAGGTCGATCCCAGCCTGCAGCTCAATCAGCTGCGAGCGCGGCAGCGGCGTCGAGATGGGGATGTCCTGCACTATGCTGGAGCGCTCGCCCTGGGAAAGGGGGAAGGTGGGCACGAGGGAGCATGATCTGTTGCTCCGAGGCGGAAGGGGGGAGGAATCGCGCTGCTGTCTGCACCCTGGGCGTCGAGATGGGGATGCCCTGCACGATGCTGGAGCGCTCGCCTTGGGGGGGGAAGGGAAAGGGGGAGGGGGGGGGGGGGGGAGGGGGGGGGGGGAGACTTAAGGTGTGCTAAGTGCTGCTCACATGGCGTCGAGATGGGGTTGTCCCGCACAATGCGAGCAGAGCGCTTGCAATGTGTGGGTGAAGGGGCGGGGGGGGGGGGGGGGGGGTGTCGAGCTGTCAAGGGTGGTGGAGATGCATAGCTGTGGGCACAAACTCAAGTTGAGCCAACTGACACTCAAGTTGAGCCAACTGCCACTCAAGTTGAGCCAACTGCCACTCAAGTTGAGCCAACTGCCACTCACAAGGCAACGACATGGGGATGTCCTGCACGATGCACGATGCTTGAACACTCGGCCTTTGGGGGGAAAGGGGGGAGGGGGAGGCAACAGCCGCGCCAAGGGGGAGCTTCATACAGAAAGGGGGAAAGCGTGGGGGTGGGGGCTGCTGTTATTGAGGAGCTTGAGCAGGTATTGGTGGTGTGTGGCGATGGTTGGGGTGTAACACCGCACACCACCCACCTTGAAACCCACCCTAGCCTCAAGACCGAGGGACGGCAGGGAGGACGCGGAGGGGGTGGTGCTCTTTTTGGGGGAGAAGAAGGGGGTGCTGCCCTTGTTGCATGTGGAACTCACCTTGGCCTTAAGAGACAGGAACGGCAGCGCAGGAGCAGAGGGCATGGTGCAGAGGGCATGGTGCAGAGGGCATGGTGCAGAGGGCATGGTGCAGAGGGCATGGTGCAGAGGGCATGGTGCAGAGGGCATGGTGCAGAGGGCATGGTGCAGAGGGCATGGTGCAGAGGGCATGGTGCAGAGGGCATGGTGCAGAGGGCATGGTGCAGAGGGCATGGTGCAGAGGGCATGGTGCAGAGGGCATGGTGCAGAGGGCATGGTGCTTGCTCTTCTCATGGTGCTTGCTCTTCTTTACGAGCTTGAGCTGGTGGCTCATGGCGCAGCAAACACTGTGTGGCATGGCACCAAACAGAGACACCCACCTTGGCCGCCAGGGGAAGGAACGTGGTGCTCGTCTTGAGGGAGAAGAAGAAAGTGCTGCTTTTCTTGCGTGTGGAACTCACCTTGGCTTCAAGAGACAGGAAGGGACGAAGTAGGTAGCGTTTCAGTGGAACTCTTTCTTGGAACTCACCTTGGCTTCAAGAGACAGGAAGGGCAGCGCGGGCGCAGTGGGGTTAGTGCTCTTCTTGACGAGCTTCAGCTGGTGGCGCGTGGCAGCGGTGGCGAGGGAGGAGCGCAGGGCGCGGGCGAGCAGCGAGAGGTCGAGCGAGAAGGCAATGCGGTCGGCGCTGGCGCTGCTGATGAGATGCTCTGAGAATAGCTCGGCCTGCGGGAAAGAGGGGGCGGGGAGGGGGGAGGGGGGGGAGGGCGGGGGGGGGGGGGGGGGGGACGACAGGAGGAGTAATGGGGAACGGGAGACAGGAGGAGTAATGAGGAACGGGAGACAGGAGGAGTAATGAGGAACGGGAGACAGGAGGAGTAATGAGGAACGGGAGACAGGAGGAGTAATGAGGAACGGGAGACAGGAGGTGTAATGAGGAACGGGCGACAGGAGGAGTAATGAGGAACGGGAGACAGGAGGAGTAATGAGGAACGGGAGACAGGAGGAGTAATGAGGAACGGGAGACAGGAGGAGTAATGAGGAACGGGAGACAGGAGGAGTAATGAGGAACGGGAGACAGGAGGAGTAATGAGGAACGGGAGACAGGAGGAGTAATGAGGAACGGGAGACAGGAGGAGTAATGAGGAACGGGAGACAGGAGGAGTAATGAGGAACGGGAGACAGGAGGAGTAATGAGGAACGGGAGACAGGAGGAGTAATGAGGAACGGGAGACAGGAGGAGTAATGAGGAACGGGAGACAGGAGGAGTAATGAGGAACGGGAGACAGGAGGAGTAATGAGGAACGGGCGACAGGAGGAGTAATGAGGAACGGGAGACAGGAGGAGTAATGAGGAACGGGAGACAGGAGGAGTAATGAGGAACGGGAGACAGGAGGAGTAATGAGGAACGGGAGACAGGAGGAGTAATGAGGAACGGGAGACAGGAGGAGTAATGAGGAACGGGCGACAGGAGGAGTAATGAGGAACGGGAGACAGGAGGAGTAATGAGGAACGGGAGACAGGAGGAGTAATGAGGAACGGGAGACAGGAGGAGTAATGAGGAACGGGAGACAGGAGGAGTAATGAGGAACGGGAGACAGGAGGAGTAATGAGGAACGGTAGACAGGAGGAGTAATGAGGAACGGGAGACAGGAGGAGTAATGAGGAACGGGAGACAGGAGGAGTAATGAGGAACGGGAGACAGGAGGAGTAATGAGGAACGGGAGACAGGAGGAGTAATGAGGAACGGGAGACAGGAGGAGTAATGAGGAACGGGCGACAGGAGGAGTAATGAGGAACGGGAGACAGGAGGAGTAATGAGGAACGGGAGACAGGAGGAGTAATGAGGAACGGGAGACAGGAGGAGTAATGAGGAACGGGAGACAGGAGGAGTAATGAGGAACGGGAGACAGGAGGAGTAATGAGGAACGGGAGACAGGAGGAGTAATGAGGAACGGGAGACAGGAGGAGTAATGAGGAACGGGAGACAGGAGGAGTAATGAGGAACGGGAGACAGGAGGAGTAATGAGGAACGGGAGACAGGAGGAGTAATGAGGAACGGGAGACAGGAGGAAGGGCGGAGCCTGTACGAAACTGCTGACGAACAGCTCGTCCTGGGGGAGGAAAGGGGGGTGAAGGAGGGCGGGAGGAGAAGAGGAAGGGAGGTGTGTGAGGACAATATAGGACGAAGGCGATGTGAGGAAACGAGACATGAGTCCAAAGGAAAGTAATGGAATGTGCTGAAAGAGAAGGAGGAACCGCACGACGAGATTTACAGCGAGGACTTGCTTGCAGTCAGCAAAATGAGTGGGTGGGGGGACATTACAGTGGGTGGGGAACTGCGTGATGGCCTCCTGCATGCTGACTTGCCTAGCCTTTGAGCTGTGCCTTATGCATGCGATGGACCACAGCTCGGGTTTTCACTCATTGAATATCTTATCTTACAGTGGGGAACTGCGCGATGGCCTGCACGCCATCAGCAGAGAGCACGTTGTGCAGGAGGAAGACGTCAGACGGTGTGAGGTACACGTGGCACACCCGCCCTATGCGCTCAAAGGCCGGCAGGAAGCCTGCAGGAGCGGCGTGGGTTAGGGAGGGAGGGTGGGAAAACGGGTGGTGGTTGGCGCCATGATAGTGTGTGTATGCGTGGAGTTACAGGTGCCGACAATGATGATTACAGGACGTGAGGTGACACGTGGCACACCCGGCCTATACGCTCAAACGCTGGGAATGGGGGGGTGGTATGGCGGGTGGGGTGGTGGCATGGGGTGGACCGTGGAGCTGTGGGATCTTATTATATACACGCATTGGCTCCCTGCTGGTGACAGGGCGTAAGGTGCACGTGGCACACGCGCCCAACGCGCTCGACGGTGATGGGAAGCAGGGGGTGGCATGGCGGGTGGTTGCATGAACTGAAGGCGTGTGGCTGCAATGTTACGGGCATTTGAGTCCATAAAGGACGGTGCTGGGGTGTGGCGGGTACACAAGGTGGGGTACAGGCTTACAAGGGGTGTTTTGAGTCGACTCAGTACACAAGGTGGGGTACAGGCTTACAAGGGGTGTTTTGAGTCGACTCAGTACACAAGGTGGGGTACAGGCTTACAAGGGCGTGCCTTGCCTGCTTGCTCTAAGGCCATTAGGTGGCCTGCAGGTCAGGGCGTGGGGTGGTGGTGGGGGAATGATGACACGGGGATGATGGCTAGAAGAGGTAAAAGGCATGGATGAGTGGAGAAATGGTGCGCATTGGGGACGGAAACAGGCATACAGATCAAAAGAGAATGATTTGAAGTGTAGAGCATAGCTTTATGTAAGCCAGCCATTGTGCGCATGTAAGGGGATTAGGCTCAGAAAGCCATGGGGTGGTCACGCTGAGACATGACGTCATGGATGGGATGGTTGCAAGGATGAGATTCTGTCACGTAGCACGGCATGGATAGCATGGCATGATGGCATAGGATGACGATGGAGGCATGCAAGGAAGCGGTTTGCGCCAAATGTTGCATGCGCTTCGCCGTGGTAGACAGAGGGGAGCACGGAACATGTGACCCAAGGCATCGAGGCTGAGCTAGCTAGCGCCATCTCTGGGTCGAAAGCATAGCAGGAGCAAAAGGGACGCGATAGATCGGAAAGGGAAAGGAATCGTCAGGCAAGCAGACAGGGAAGGGAGGAGGATGGTGACGTCAGAGGCGGACTGACGTTGCTCGAGGAGCGACACTCCGTCCGTCGTGAGAATCGCCTTGAACCGCATGATGCTGTGTGCTCTGCTGTGTGCTCTCCTGTATCCACATCCCAAAACGCGGGGGTTTCGTTTCTTACCACCTGGCAACATTGGGGTAACATTTCGGTAGGTTTTACAACACCTACTCCAAAGATTGTGGCCAACATTCCCTCTCGTAACTTTGAAATGACTCGGCTTCAACAGAAACTTCTCGGAATCTAAACCAATGAATCTCAGCCGTTAATCTCGTTTACACCCAAATCTTGCTCTATCGTAACTTTGAAATGACTGACCAATCGGAGCTCGTTACTTGGTCTGCAGGGATGGGCTACCGCGGTGAACCCAAGCGCCATCGACTTCATCGTATTGGTTCGCGACAGATTGTTCTTATTGGTTGCGACATCAATCCGGCGATTACATGGAGTCTACCTGGTTACGATTCTAGTTACGCATACACTCAAAGGTAGAATGCAATTATCCTATGCGCATATCAATAAACAGTTGTTACGGCGCTACTACGTTACTAGATATTGTAACAATACATTTTAGAAATTTTAATTTTACCATTTGTTGAGCTGAGAAAAAGCCCTTAGGATCTTTGCAGAGGATAACTCTTGGGTAGAAACTTGTAATAGCGGAAGCGTTTAATGAATATTGTGAACCGACCTTGCACTGGTGTGTGAGAGCAAAGTGGATTGAATTAAACAAGCAAATACAAGGATTTATATAAGAGTACAGGGAATACGAATAGATAGATAACTGTATTGCTGTTGCGATTCGATACAGTGCGACTCGGGCAACTGCTCTGTAACGAGTCAGTTGTGTGTCCTTAACTGTCGCGCTGTAATTGTCGAGTCAAAGGTCGCTGACCTTTGACTTTCTCGTAACCTCCAGGCGGTTACCCTAACCTCCGAGGTTGACTCGATGCTTCGATTGGGACTGCTTCGCTTGGTGCCTTGGATTTTGACACGACAGAAGCGCACTTAAGACTTATTGTTTCCAACACTCCCCTTCGCTTCTGGAGTGTCGCTGCTGGTGACGTGGCCTTGTCCAGTCAGCAGCATGCAGTATTCGAACTTCTGCTTTCCGAGTTTCTTGGTCAAGTAATCGGCTGCCATCTCAGACGTGGGACAGTATAACAGATCGAGTTTCCCTTTTTCGATCTCGTCCTTCACGAAGAAATAGCGCAGGGCGATGTGTTTCGTCCTGTTTGCGAAGCCGTTCTTGTTGGCGATGCGAATTGCTGACTGGTTGTCGCAGAACACGGTGAAGCTGGGTAACTCGGCTAGCTTCGCTTCTTCCAGTAGTTCGCGAAGATAAAGTCCCTCTTTGGTGGCTGAGCAGTGTGCAATATATTCTGCTTCTGCTGAAGACAGTGCGATTAACTCCTGCTTACTCGACTGCCAGGAGATAGGACCGATAGGTTCGAGGCGGTAGACGTAGCCGGTGCGTGAGCGCCTGTTATCGGTGTCACCGGCGTGATCGGCGTCGACGTAGCCGATTAGCTTGGTCGGTGTAGTCGCGTTTTTGTGATAAGTTAGTCCGATCGTCGCGGTGCTGACGAAGTAGTGGAGAGCACGATCGAGTTCTGCCAGATGCTCTGCTTCAGGTTTCTTGAGATAGGTGGCGAGCTGACTCGCGGAGTAGGATAGGTCGGGACGACATGTGACTGCTGCGAAGAGAAGGCATCCGAGCTTCTTCTGATAGTCGCGTATGCCGGCGGGCTTGAGTAGAGTAGATTGCCCCTTTTCGGTTCCTGACGTGTAGCGGTAAGGCGTGGAGATGGCGCTTGGTCTGAGGTTGAACCGTTTCGCGATGGTGTCGGCGTACTTCTCGGCGCTTAGATAGATTGCGTTTTCTTCTTCGCGGATGTTGAGCCCGAGGTACTGCGTAACCGTAGAAGAGACCGTGATCGTGAGGTCTTTCTGAAGCTCCCCTTCGAACCACGTGGCGATGCCGTCAGTTGACCCAATGTAGAGGAGATCGTCCACGTAGACGATTAGGAGAACGTAGTCGCTTCCCTTTGTGAGGCGATACATGCCCTGGTCATGCGGGAGTTGTTTGAAGCCGATGCGGATGAGGCGGGCGTGTAGGTACTGCTGCCACAGTCGTGGTGCCTGCTTGATCCCATAGAGTGATTTGAGTAGTTGACACACTCGGTTGGGTTCGCCGTGGGAGCCGTGCGGGAGTTCGACGAAGATTTCTGCATCCACATGTGTGTAGAGGAATGCGTTCGCAACGTCGATTTGTCGCAATTTCTTTTTCTTCATGGCGGCGACGGCGATGAGAATTCGGAGTGAGGTGTGACGGCTGACCGGAGCGAAGGTTTCGGTGTAATCTCTTCCGTGCTCCTGGTCGAAGCCATGTACGATCCAGCGGGCTTTGAATTTGTCGATGGTGCCATCAGCTTTCGTCTTCACACGGAAGACCCATTTCCCGGTAAGAATAGTTTTATTTTGAGCTACGCCGATGGGAACAATTTTCCAGGTGTTGCGCTCCTCCAGTGCCTTCAGCTCTTTGTCCATGGCTTCACGCCATTTCTCCCTGTGTTCCCCCCCCAGAGCCTGTTGAACCGTCGCATGCTCCTTAGGAATGCCGGCGCCATGGACTGCGGTGACGAGACCAAGGATTTGCAGCCCAGTCTGTGAGTATCGAGGGAGTTCTGGATCCTCGGGATAAGCTGCTTCGTCTCCCGCTTCTGGGTCGGGCATGAAATTTGGCCCTACTCTTTCTGCTTCGATGGTGTTGACTGTCGCAGGTGTTACGTAACCATTGTCGGCGAAATGGTAGAAGACTTCGGCGTTGTTACTGTCGTGAGGATTATCTTCATCCATGGGCACGTCGACGGAGCAGTATGGGAGAGGTCCGGCTTCCTCCGAGGCGTTGTCGACGTTCTGTTCATCCCAGTCTGCTTCGTCCGCTGCTGACGCGAAGGCTCGGTCACCACGAAAGCCACTGGTGAGGTCCCGATTCTCGTGCAAGTTGGCGAGGTACGTCTGAAGAGTGAGTCTTTCGTAGAAGATCACATCACGTGCTGCTACTATTTCCTTTGTGTGGACATCGAAGATTCTCCACGCGTTGTAATTTTTCTCGATGCCGAGGTGTAGTCCCTACTGTGCCCGTTGCGAAAATCTTCCCGCTCGTGCTTGTGGGGGTCTGTACTGTACCATGCACCCGAAAACTCGTAACATTTTTGTGCTGCCCTGCTTCCCTGTCCACAGCAGATGCGGTGATGCGTTGTTCGGGAGTGACGACGACGACAACAAGTTGTGCAGCATGACAGCGTGGTCCATTGCTGCAGGCCACTGGTGGTTGGGTAGCCGCATGCCACGTAACAGTTTGCGCATGCTGTTCTGTAGGGTCCTGTTCATTCGTTCTGCAACACCTTGCTGCTGATGTGCGTAGGGAAGGGAGAGGAGTTGCTTGATCCCCCTTTCCGCCAGGAACTGCTTGAAGCGCTGAGAGGTGTACTCGCCACCTCCGTCTGACTGGAAACTTTTCAGTTGTGTTCCAGACTCTCTCTCTGCTATCGGTAGCCAGGCGGCGAATGCTGCGAGCGCCATGTCGCGGCTGGGTAGGTTGCGATGCCAGACGTATCGAGTGGCGGCGTCGATGAAGGTGATGGTGTAATCGTAGTTAACTTGTCCGGGTTCGCGATTGTAGAGGATGTCGCTGTATACCTTTTCGAGTGGTGCGTACGCTGGAGCGCTCGGGTTGTGATGTGGAGCGAACGGTCGATGAGGTAAGTCAGCTTCGGGACATATAAGACAGGTCCCTCGTGCCTTCTAGAGTTCTCTGCCATCGGGTAGAAGTAGAGAGTCTTTGTCAAGAACTCCTGCTCTTATCGTGTTATTCAAAACCGTGTTGCTTGGATGTCCTGTGCGTGCGTGCCAGATCTCTTCAGAGGCGCGGTGTCCGGGTGAGCGCTGGTATGCGTCGGAGTTGGAGTAAAAGCTGGCGACGAGGTTGGCGCTCCGGTGAACTTCACGTTGAGTCGGATTCAGCTGTTGCGCGGGTGTTGGTGGTGCTTCGTCGACTGTGACTGGTGTCGTTGTTCCTGCTGCTGCTGATGTTGTTGCTGCTGCCGATGCTGTTGCCGCTGTCGATGTTGTTGCCGCTGCCGATGGTATTTGTTGAATCGTTGCTAACGCTCTTGTTCGTTCTGCTTCAGGGATAGTGTGGGAGTACCAGAAGCCTCCCGGGCTGAAGTCGGGGTCGAGATCCGGAGGGTGTGTCCAGTCAGCAAAGTTCACAATGGCGTCGCTGTCTGCAGTGCCGAGGTCGGGAACGAAGTCGAGGACGAAGACGTTGTTCTTCAGTACTGCCTTCCCGATGTAGAGACCGCCTCTCCCGTGGTATAGCTTGAATTCCTGGGTGGTGCTGTCAGCTTCCAGGTGAATCCCTTTCGCCATCAACTGGCTAACACTCAGTAAGTTGTAGCCGAGTCCTTCAGCGATGAGTACCTTAGACATGTGCAGTATGACATTTGTTTCTCTTGACTGAAGCTGTACCACTCCTTGTCGTCGTGTGCGCAGGTTTTGATTGTTGGCAACCGTGATGATCACTTCTCGTTGGAGTCGATGTTCGCGTTGTACGAAACGCCCGGACGAGCACATGTGTTGCCCGCAGCAACTGTCCTAGAACCAGGTGTCTTGGCCGGACGGTTCACTTTGAGCGATGGCGGCGTAAGTCGGATTTGGGTGGAGTGATTCGCGGCGAGGTGTCCTGTTGTCGAGCTCCTCTTCCGGTGAGTAATGGGGTGGTGACTCTGTTATGCAAGAGTCGTTTATCTTGACCATGCAATTGACTATATTTCTTGCTCCTTGTGCAGGTTGTCCAGTTGAGGTCGTTGAAGCTTGAATCGTGGTTGTCGAGCTTGCTTGTGCCGAAGCAACTTGGGTGCTTGAAGGCCGCAGTTGTCGATGTGGTGTTGTCTGACGAGACGGGCAGTGCGTGCGTGGGTGTCCTGATGTCTTGCAGATGTGACAAAACGGAGGTACTGGCTTCGGCTGCTGCTGTCGATTGTTGTA